TAGATTTTATCCGGAGAATTTTTGTCAAAGCAAGTGTGCAAGTGTGCTGCAGCTGCAGTGACAACGATGCATATTTATTGTTTCGCTGGATGTACACCAGAGTTGGGCGTTATTCGAATGAAATTTTATCTAGATGATTATTTAGATAACATTTTATTCGAATAAATTATTATTCGAATGATTTTTTTACAATTATTCGAATTAAAATTTATTCGAATGATTTTTTTACAATAATTCGAATAAAAATTTATTCGATTAATTTTCAACTATTATTATTCGAATAAAAAATCATTCGAATATTTTTTTTTACAATTATTCAAATAAAAACGTATTCGAATAAAAAATTAACCGATTCAATTTTAAACATAGATATTCGAATAAACAATAAACAAATATATATCAATAGAAGAAAGTTAAGAATTAGAAAATTAGATATGTTTTTTTAAATTATATTTTAACAATAGTTTTATAATATTATAATATGAATAATATTTAATGGTAATATTTCATAACAATTATTACAGCAATCCTAATAGATCGATAATAGCAATATCTAAAAAAATGATTTTATTATGAACTAGGTATGTTTAATCAAATTAAATAACTAAGAATTATTCGTATAACCGTCTTTAAAATTTATTCGAATAATCATAGATGAAAATTATTCGAATAGTTTTTTATTCGAATAATCATAGTTGAAAATAATTCGAATAGTTTTTTATTCGAATAATCATAGTTGAAAATTATTCGAATACATTTTTATTCGAATAATTGTAAAAAAAACATTCGAATAGTTTTTTATTCGAATACAGATTTATTCGAATAATTATCTAGATAAAATTTTGCCCAACTCTGATGTACACACAAATAACGGAAAATATGTTTGGTTTTTTATCCATTTTTTTTTTATTTATTATTATTCCCTAGGACAGTTTATACTTTATATATATATGATATACACTAAGGAAATAATCGAATCACGTAAAAAGAGGTGTATTTCACTGGTAGCAGCTGATATCGAGAGTGCCAAGTACCGTATAAAACACAACACGTCCACTGGCACTGTCAATATCGACAATCGCTCCGACGGATCCCTTTCCGTGTCTCGGCTATCAAAATATTTATCCGTCCTTTTTCTCTTTTTCCTCTTTTCCCACTTCAACCGAACGTACTATATAATACAATATAAATGTATGTGTGTGTGTGTGTGTGTGTGTGTATGTATTACTTGACTTATTCCTTGTCTTATAGTTTTTATTCGTATTTTTTTACTTTTCGTGCACTATATATCATATATTATTACTACTATTATTATTATTATTATTATTATCATCATTTTATGGACCCCGAATCCACGAGGTTTCTCCGATCCCTCATTTTTGTATTAATATTTCATAAGCAAAAAATATCACAAACATTTTTTCAGTGATAACATTATATTTAGTGCTTTAATATAATATATTATCGTATAAGCGTATAATTTAATTAAACATTTATAATTGCGTTTAATTTAATATTTTATAGCATGATGTTAATATAATAATAATATAGTATAGTTACGTTCGAACTAGATGGGAATTTAAACTTTAAAATACTTTTATGGTCTCAAAAATAAGTTTGATATAATAATATGTTGAAAGGTGATATTGTAAAAAAAATAAACACAATACTCAAATATTATTATTTAGTTGGCGATTAACGTGAGTATAATATTATCAATAAAAATTAGTTTATGATACTTAATCCACTATTTGGTACTTTTTGAGTGAAACTTTGAATTGGGAATGAAAAAACATTTCACATGTAATAATTTCAATACGCGAATAAAACTAAAAAAAATAATGAAATTCCACTGTATAAATCATATAAAAGAAAAGTTCGTAGAAGTAAATTCACTTGATTTATAAATAATAATTTATATTCCCCCGAGAAATTTAAAATGCTAAATAAAAGGTCATGTAATAATATTATGTATGTATACGTTTGTAATTTAACAATAACTTTGTTTCACTCGGAAATTCGATTCATAAAATAAAACTATCAACAGGAATAATATCTCTAATTTTGTTCAACTCAAATATTATGATATGTAGTATTATATTAATTGTTTGTATGAAAATAATTAATACGTATAATAGGATAACGGAGTTTGTTTAAATACCAATGTATTGATAACCGTGGTGGAATCGTGTATTCGAGCACCACCGAATCGATGTTATTTTAGGTTTACCTATCTACTATACAAATATAGATTGGTTTTTTTTTTTTTTAAACATAGATTGAATTTCAAGATGCAAAGAGAGCGACCAAGTGGGAATTGGCGGGGGCCGGCGGGAGTATTGGCCACCGGTTTTTAAGGCGAACAAATCGATGAGGTGGCAGAGCCCTCTAGTTTTATAGATAATATGTTAAGTCTTATGTATAATAACTATGTGACGACTGTAGTTATTTACACGTAAAATAAACTTTCGACGGAAAAACGTGATTTTAGATGGACCAAAAAGTTTCATGGGTTGAAAATATAACAGCTTGAGACGGATTTTTGACGGGAGGGGGTGACAGGTACTTCAAAAAATTCGTTTAGTTCATCTCAATATTACTACCGGGAAAAAATTTCATAACGTGGACTATACCCATCTCTTGAAAGTTGAAACTTTTGTACGCCGTAGGTAGACACTGCAATATCGATCGTAGCATTACCTAAAATTGTGCTTTGTTGTGTGATGACTTGCTACATTTGGCGTAGAATTAACCACCACAATATTTTATAACATTATACATGCGTATCTATAGGACTTAATTTAATATATTATTATAGGACCTTTATAAAATGAGTTTTGTGTATTTTGTTTTTAAATATTTTAAAATATAGATTGCATTTCAAGATTTAGAGAGGGTGATCACGTGGGGATTGGAGTGGAACGACAGTGGTATGGCCCCCCCTCCCCCGTTTTTTAGTGAGATAAGCAATCAGGGAGCAGAACCCTAGTTACATAATATTATGTTTATTATATCGTATGTATAATAACTATGTGACGATCGACGACCACTGTATAGGTACATAAGTCATAATTATTATTATAAAATAAACATTCATCGGAAAAACGCGGTTTTAGATGACCCGACAAATTACAAGGGTTGACAAAAATAACAGGTTGACCGCGGAGTTTTGACGACAACGGGTTACAGGTAGTTTGAAGAATTCGTTGAATTCATCTCAAAATTAAAAAAACGTATTCGGTATACCTATCTCTCGGAACGTCTGCAGGTTACCTATTACCGGGGTATAGGTTCAGTGGTTCACACTATTATATCGATCGTGGCATTCGGCCATGATAAAATGTGTGCGTTAACTCGCTGCGTCTGGCGTGGAATTAATGGGACACCACAACGACATATTTTATAATATATTATAATACATCTATCTAGGACCTAATAATACGACGGTGGTAGGTTTGTTGTTTTTGTATAGATTCGTTTGTCGTCGAGAGCTGGTGCAGAACCGCACCGCGCGCCGTTTCAACGGCAGATCCACGCCGAGTGTAATATAATAATGCTTTTTAATTAAAAGTATAATAATATTATATAGAATTCACGCGGGGTCTTAATTAAAAATAGAAAAAAATTTTACACATAGAATTAACGCATAATAATGGAATGGAACCGTCGCCGCCGCCGCCGAGTTGTCGCTTATATAATAATAATATGATTGGTAACCGCGACTGCCGTTGTCGTCTACAACTATACATATACACCCTGCAAAAGACACGGGCGACGCCTGCAGCGGTTTTAATAATAATAATAATAATAATAATAATAATGTGTTCGCAGTAATTTCGGTCTTCTGTAGGCTGCAGTGTTTCCGTTTGAGCACAACAATATTATTATTATTATTATTGATATTATCCTTAGCGTCGATACGATTGGACGACAACGACGAATCGCTCATTACATCAAGAGGAAGTCGCACCCGCATGTGTTGTCTCAGTCTTACACACGGACGACATGGCACATTTTCGTTAGTCAGTTTCAATAGTGCGCTGTTGGTTTTGATATTAGAGTGAATCGACCTGTTATCAAACTTTTAGGTAACAAGCACGGACTAAGATATACAGGACTGGAAACGACGGCGTTATCAATGGAACTAATGTACAACGCTAGTTGGTACAACGTCGATCTTAACGCCATCTAGGTACGTAAGTGCATTACATAATAATTTAATAATTAATTGTTAAATTATTAAAATTGCAATTGTAATTATTATTTATGGTGCCTTAGTATTCTTGTCTATGGTGCCTAGTGCCTACTACCTACTACCTAGTACCTATATAAAAAAAAATGTATTATAATATTGAGTTAAGAATTAAGATCTAAAATGTACTTGTATAGTTAAATTACCTATATACAATATAAGGTACCTTAATTGACAAGTAGTTTATGAGATTGAGTTCAAATTTCAATAAAACTTTCAACTTACAAGTAGCACAGAATATTAGAGTTAATACATTATATTATTTTTACATATTTGCATTTTAGTGTTTTAATTTATTAATGTAATAACTAAAAACTATAGTATGACATACCTGTTAATACTTGATTTGCAATAACAATAATTGTTGTGAATATTTAATATTCTATTTTGAAGTTCATACCTAAAGGTACCTATACTTACTTCGAAATTCAAATACTGTGCAGATATTTGTGTAGGTATGCATAAAAAAAATAACAACAATAAATTAAATTTATGAGCAGTTCATAATTTATTTTGGTAGTATCGATTCACTTGCACTTTGTAGTGTTTTTAATACTTAAATACTTCTCTTGGTTTAATAGTAGGTATATATTAAGTATGAAAAATATTTGAGTAGTTTGAGTAATATTTTAAACACTTAAAAATTATCTTTAAAACACTACAAATGTCAAATTGCTAAGTTACATACTGACTAAAATTAATAGTAACTTGATTGTAAAATAGATCATAAATTGCATAAATATAAAATTTAGCATACATTTAAATCTCCTGGATAGTTGTTATTTACACTTATTAAATCTGCAGCTGAAAAATGATTTTGACAAACATAATGAGCAATGGAACTTTTACCATTAGCTTTAGAGACAGCTTCGTTCCATGCTGTTAAAATATTAACTTCTTTTGGTGCTTTGAACAATGTACATTTAATTTTGTTTTTCAAAATATGGCATTGTTCTACACTACACCGCCTAGGCATTTTGGTAATTTATCTTAAATAATAAATAAATGTAATGTACCTACTATTGAAATATTGGTAATAAAAAAGTACAACATAGAATGAATTTTAGATAGGATTCACAGAATAGACTAAAATAATCTTTTATGTATGGTCAATACTTGCTCAGTACCTATTCTGTACTTAATTTAATAACATATACATACAAATAAAGTATAATATATCTTAGATTAAGTTGTTTAGTATAAAATATATTATACCTACACATTCAAGAAACAAAATTAGATACAAGATGTGTATAACAAGTCTAAAGTTTATTATATATTTCATTATTTCATACAGTAACATAGGGATTATTTATAGGCTTATAATAGTTGCCAATAGATGGCAGAGCGGTCGCGGTTGTACAGGCGTCAGAAAGGAACCGTTGTACATTTGGCCCAGACCCCGCACTCCGCCAGCTCATTCGTTTCCAGTCCTGTATATCTTAGTCCGTGGTAACAAGTAACAACATTATCTGTGTTGTCGGTTTTTTACGATATTTTAATTTTTATGTGAGTTATGAGTAAGTAAAACATTAATATTCATAAAATGCTCATAATTCACTTAAAAATTAAAAAATCGTAAAAAACCGACGAGAGAACACAGATAATGTTGTTAGTTAAAAGTTTGGTAATAGGTCAATTCAATCCAAAATCAAAACTGACAGTAACCTATTGAAACTGGAGAACGAAAATTTGCCATGTCTTACGAGTGTACGACGGAGACAACAGGTGTGACGTACTCTTAATATACGAGAACACTATATGTTCAGCTGCTGCAGTGTTTGTCCATAGACATGATATTGCAGCTTTCATCGTAATAAATTGTCACACCGATTTTTCTGTCGTTTCAGTACGATTTTCCGAAGTTATAAAGTAGAAAATATCAGTTTCAGACTCAAAAGTCCGCGACTTCTGACTGCAGCGGACTGACGATGGATTACACTTTTTTTTTTAGAAACCCAATGCGTTTACGAACGACCTCGGATCCAGTGGCGGATTTAGCGTCAGGCAAAGTAGGCAGTTGCCTAGGGCGGCAATTTTCGGCCAATATTTTATTGAGAATACTCTAAGTTTCTTTTTGATTTTCTAATCTACGGTGATTACTCTGAAGGATGGAAAAAAAAATGTTTAATATTTAAGTATAATAATAATCTTGTTAATATAATTTCTTCTTTATTTTATAATATATAACAATAAACGTCCAAGTAAATTATCGAACGACTGCCGGAACGTAGATCTATTATTATCTAAATACTAAACATAGATAACATATTTCGTTAATTTGTTTTTTTGCTAAGTCGTAATAATATTATTAATAATCGCTCGTGGTTCGTTTGATCGCATGGCGTACACATACTACACGCACAATACATACAGATATGATATTATGATATATTTAATACGAATACGGGTGACGATCGATTCGTATTGGAACGATAGTCTAATTATAAACCAGTCACTGTGAATATTTTTATATAATATACTCGTACCTACGTACTATGCATTATGTGTACAAAAATAAAACTTTTTCTATCCAAAAGATAAAATTATTTAATAATTGCTTATTTTTCTTCGGGACTATGAAATAGAGGGCGGCCGAGTAAAAAATAGGTTTATTTTATTCTAGGGCTCTCGGTCTGGTTAGACCTAGAGATTAAACTTTATTCTGATTAGACATTCGATTATTTTCAACACAACATTCAAGGCGGATAGCTTCATATTCGGTTATTAGTAGGTATACTACTACTAAAATTACTGGTAAGTAAACGCTATATTTTATAAACACATTTTATTAGAACAGTTTATTAACATAAATGCCATTAATTATTGTTTAGTATCAGTCTTTATGATTTATTTTTTTAGTACTTATGTTAAATAATTATTTAAAAATACGTTTTCTCGTTGATAAGTTTAATGGGGCGGCAATTGTGTAAATCCGTCTCTGCTCGGATCAAAATTATCAAATAGTTACCGGATTCGTTTGTTTTATCAATAAATTTAAGATATACCTTATATACCGCGTGGTATATCAGCTCGAACCATGGTTAGTATATTTATTGTGGGGAGTATAGGATTATACTTTATGATTATATTATTTTCAGCGACCGGACATGCAATAGGACATAATTGTAATCGTGTGCTCTGGTGGGCAATCGTTATGACATTATCGGCTTCGATCGCGACGGTCTCCATTTCGACAAATCGTTTGCAATCGGAGAGTTAAAAAGAATAATATGCGAAAATATACATATTATTTTTATAAGCCGTGAAAAATGTAAGTCTTCGCAAATTTTCGAATCGGTGAACTACAGTGAGATTGAGGGGCATGTCGATTCCGTTGGTGTATAATAATAATAATAATAATATCATGCCGTCGCGTCTCGTCCACGTGCCTTTTATTATAATAATAATAATAATAATATTATTATATAATAACACCGATTTATGCATCTTCCGGGAAAGGGGAAAACAAATGAAATTATAAAAAATAAAATAAAAACATCAGACAACTGTTGTCCTTGGAAACAGTAGTAGCGGTAACGGGTGCGAAGAATTGACATAAAGTAGTTACTATACCGTATAGTGTATACAGGATGTAACGGATATATAGAAAATAGCTAAATAATTATAATTTGATTTTATTCCATTAATTTATTTGGATCACCCTTTTGAATCGCCTTTTGTGCAAAGTAAACTTTCCACAATGTCCAAGATACTAAAGATTTTCAAATTATATTTTCGGTTTTTTAACGGTTTATACCGGTTTCGAGCCCTGGCAATAACCCAATGCAGTGTAATTGGAAATTATTATGTATTAAACTAAAAAATTTAATATCGATAAGAACAAAAGTTATTACTTATATAGTTATATTGTTAGTCAATATTGCATTTGTCAGTTATTTCTGGTACACCCTATTTGTATAATACGCCAGAGTGATTCACTATAAGCATGCTCACAGCCATATTGTACTTTTTCAATGATGAATTTATTCAAATCACTATTTTTAGACCATTTAGGAGTGTCTGGTAGGACGATACAAACTATTTTTTTTTTCAAATGAGAACTAATATTCTACATAAGTATTAAGATACGATTCAAAAAACTCAAATATAAAAATCAGGATTATTGAATTAATTCACTATATTAAAGGAAAAATGGGTCAATCACATCACGAGCTCGGTGAATTATACAACCCTGATGTATATAATGGGGTTGTTGTATACCTACCTAATATACACGTACATAATATTATTATTAAATGTATTATTTTATTTATATATAATACTATAATAGTATAGTGCTTGTGACAGAGGTGATGAGTTCTTTATATATATATATAAAAAAAGTATGCTGTATTAATATTTTATTATTTTAACTATCTAATAAAAGACATTAAAAACAAGACAAAACAAATGTACGAAATAAAGAGAAAAAACATTCCAACAAGTTTAATAGCTGCCCTTAAATAAAACCTTAATACAGTACTAAAATATTATATTGATTTTAACAAAGCTTTTTTAAAACTATATAGTGATTGCTAAATGTAGGTTAGGTACCTATTGGTTAAAATTAATATTCAAAGATTTACATAAATCGGTGGCGATATTATATCAATGCAGCTCCTTAGACTAAATTACTTTTTACAGTTTGTTTTAATTACGAGATTTTATTTTTATTTTTACAAGCTCATATAATATGATTATGTAGTGATTTTTTATTAAATTTTACCTTTTTTTTAAATTTAACACATTAAAACTTTACCAGTATCTGTACCATAAAAACTTGGTCGTCTAACATCTAAGAACATATTATTTAATAATTTTAGTTTAAGTATAGTTTTTAATTTAACTAGACTAATATAAAAAGTCACCCCCTCACTCCTATACCAAAAGTAATAACTGACTCTATAAAAGAAAAATTTTATACTACCAACTACATTTTTTTTTTTTGTCAAACAATTCTCTAATATTTCAAAAACAAACAATTGTTTTAATATCCCATAATCGATATTATTGCTTTCCACATTAACTGGTTGTCCACGTACAAACCTAAGTATTTTAATACGATATAAGCTTTTGCCAATAGCTTTACAAATAAGTTTAATGAACGATCATCGGCCACACGCAGGCGACGGATTATTTTGTCACAATTCAGGTGACCAGGTCGTTGAAATTACCTGGAAGTCGCTAGGATTTTTTTTTTTTAGGGGGGTGGGGTGTGTCAAACATTTTTCGGGCCACGTGCCAACATTTTGAATAGTCAAGGTATTCAGAACATTTTACGTGCCAGTAATAGTATGTTTTTAAGTCTTAGGTAACGAATTTATTTCAGAGGACTTAAAAAAATTTACATAATTTACAAAACGATTTATGAATAATATTTTTGTATCAAACCCTTTTTGTATAATACCTAAACAAGACTAAACTTCCCCACCCACTTCAATACTACATCAAATTGTTTGCATTTTTTCGTTTCTATTCCTGTATTTTCGTTAATAGCAGGTGTGTGTTTTGTTAGTTTTAATGAAGCACAATAAAAATCATTATAGCTTCATCCATAAAATAATATGTATTTTTCCGTTTTGATTTGATAGTAGGTATCCGTAATGGTGGAATAAGTAGACTTTCCTAAGTCTATTTTAACATGAATATTGAGTGGGTGGGTGTACATGCAGTTTTCACAAAGCACAATAAATATTTCTGGACTCGTGTCCCATGTTTTCACCGGTTTATAATAATAGTTAGTAACTATATTAGAATATTATTTAGAAATAACGAAATATTTTTTGAATATTATTTTTCATTACATCACACGAGATTCGACGCAAAGCGATGAGAATATTTCCTTATTGAAGTCAATGTAAAGTGTTACATTCTTCTGGCACGAGTGTCGTAGGTTCTACGTTTCTACTTACTTTGCGTTAATATTGTTTTTCTTTGGAAACAAACACAGACTTTAATCGCAGGAAAAACGAA